TACACACACGCACACTGCATTCATACACACACACGCACACTGCATTCATTATATACAAACACTGTAAATAAATATTCAATTAACCCCTTAAGGACGGAGGGCGTACTATTACGCCCTGCAGGAGCCGGCTCTAAACGCCGGCGGGCGTAATAGTACGCCCTCACTTTAATGGCCGCCCATGTGGCCGGCGCTAGTCGCCCGGCCCCCCAGACAACCCCCCCTGTGGCCGGTGACCGCGATCTGCAGTCTCTGATCGCAGTGACAGGCTGTCACTGCGATCAGTTTTTAACGTGTGTCAGCCGATTTCAAATCGGCTGACACTCGTGGCCGGCGGCTACCCCGTGCAGATCGCGGTCGGGGGACTTACCTGGCCCCCCAGGCAGTCCCCCTGGGGTCAGTGACCGCGATCTGCACTGTCTGAGATCGCAGTGACAGCCTGTCACTGCGGTCAGTGTTACATGTGTCAGCCTATTGGCTGACACATGTAACTGGCACAAAGATCCCCCTGCAGATTGGAAGGGGGGAGTGCTTGTACCACCCAGGCACTCCCCCCTGTGGCCAATTACCCAATCTGCAGGAGGTGATCACAGTGACAGGCAGTCACTGTGATCACTGATCCTGTGTGTCAGCCAGTGATGTAAAATCACTGGCTGACACTGTCTCTGCCCCCTCTCCTGTAAAAAAAATAAAATATTAGTTAAAAAAAAATTACAGTTACATATAAAATATACTTAGATCATATATAATATATATGATCTAAGTATATATATACACACACACACACACACACACACACACATTTACACATACACGAAGTGTATTTAAATATTAATATATATAATTATTTATATATATTACTATTGAATTACACGTAGACTGATACTAATAAAATATATATATATATATAATTATTGTTTTATATATATATATATATATTTATATATAATATAAAAAAATGTAAATACGTAAAAAAAATAAATTTAAAAAATAATTAAAAATAAATAATTAAAAAATATATAGATGTTTGTTATTTCGTTCTAACTGTATTGTGTTATTAATATATATATATTTATATCAAAATACACGTAGAACGAAATAATATATATATCTATATACATAAATATATACGTATATATCAATATATATACACACCTATATATAAATAAAAATATAAAAAAAAATTATATATATATATGTATATATACACATATGTATATATATACATATATTAATTCTACACATATATTTATGTAATATTTTTACATAATTAGGTATCCTAATTAATTACAATTAGCGGGACCTGCCTGACAACCCATGCCGAAAGTATAGGGAATTTAATTTGCTAGCACTATATTTAACCCTATAACTTTCCAAGACACCATAAAACCTGTAAATTGGGGGTACTGTTTTACTCGGGAGACTTCGCTGAACACAAATATTAGTGTTTCAAAACAGTAAAATGTATTACAACAATGATATCGCCAGTAAAAGTTAAGTTTTTTGCATTTTTCACGCACAAACAGCACTTACACGGATGATATTATTGCTGCAATACTTTTTACGTTTTGAAACACAAATATTTGTGTTCAGCGAAGTCTCCCGAGTACAACAGTACCCCTCATGTACAGGTTTTATGGTGTTTTCAAAAGTTACAGCGTCAAATATAAGGCTTGTGTTTCATTTTTTTCACATTAAAATTCGCCAGATTGGTTACGTTGCCTTTGAGACCCTATGGTAGCCCAAGAATGAAAATTACCCCTATGATGGCATACCATTTGCAATAGTAGACAACCCAAGGTATTGCAAACAGGGTATGTCCAGTCTTTTTTAGTAGCCACTTAGTCACAAACACTGGCCAAAATTGGCGTTTTTTGCATTTTTCACACAAACAGATACTAACGCTAACTTTGGCCAGTGTTTGTGACCAAATGGCTACTAAAAAAGACTGGACATACCCCATTTGCAATACCTTGGGTTGTCTACTATTGCAAATGGTATGCCATTATGGGTGTAAATTTCATTCCCGGGCTACTATAAGTCTCAAAGGCAACGTAACCAATCTGGCGAATTTCAATTTCAAATGTAACGTGCTATATTTGACCCTGTAACTTCCCAAAACGCCATAAAACCTGTACATAGGGGGTACTGTCTTACACGTGAGACTTTGCTGAATACAAATATGTGTATTTTATTGCAGTAAAAGCAAACAGTATTATGACATTGACCGTTAAAATGTCATGTAGAACTAAAAAAATCAAAAAAAATCTTATTTTCTCCCATTTTTTTCATATTAAATTATGTTTCATAGCTAAATATTTGATATTAAATGAAAGCCCTGTTTCCCCTGAATAAAATGATATATAATAAGGGTGGGTGCATTTACTATGAAAGAGGTGTATTACGGTTGGACAGACATGTAGCGCAAATGCCAGGTTTTGTTTACATTTTGTTTCGTTCACAACGTGTACATTTGGCTCCGTCCTTAAGGGGTTAATATAATTTTTGGGGGATCTAATTTTATTTAGAAATTTACCAGTAGCTGATGCATTTCCCACCCTAGTCTTATACTCGAGTCAATAAGTTTTCCCAGTTTTTTGGAGTAAAATTAGGGATCTCGACTTACATTCGGGTCGACTTATACTCGAGTATATACGGTAAGTGTCTTTAGAACTTTCATATATGTACTGTTAGAGTCAGACTAGGCTTTAAAAATGGCTGAAAAAATTTACCTGGCTGTACAGGATGGTGAACCAGAAGCAGGAATAGAAGATTGACTAAATAGTAGGTGGCATATTAATACTACTAAACTGGAATAGTGCTAGACAGCCATACACATATAATTGTATTGTAAAGCAGAACAATATATAACATTGAAACAAAGAAAACTTGTATATTATTGTTAATCACATAACTTGACATAAAGAGGTGTGCACGCAATGTTCTTTAAACAATCTCTGAATGATAGAATGGCCTGGTACACTACTGAGAGCGAAAGCAAATGTAGGCAGTCGTTCATAATGTTGGGACAGAATTCGTGGTAGCACAAGGAATCTTTACAGACATACTATTAACAGTAACAGTCGATAGTGTCAGAAATATACAAAAATGATGCACTGGCTTGATTGATTCACAACATCTAATAGACGCTAAGGATTCCCTAGGAGTGGTAGGATTTAATATCACACAGGATATATTAATGTTTCATCCCTCTATATTTCAGATGTGCTTCATGCATTTCCATGACGCAGGGTTTGGAGGAAGCAGGGCAGCGTCACCTTAAGCTGTCATGCGAGGAAGTGTGCAGACCCTTTGGAGTCTGGAAAAAAGGCAAAGCCAACAATGGTGGTAAAAAAGGGCATGGTCATCTACGACTCAACTTGATCGCAGGCCAGCTGTTCTCAAACAAGTCAATAATCTGTGGAAACACCATAAGATGTAGCCCTGTGTTGTTGTCTCACTAGGCCCTATTGGGTATACAGTAAGTTGTAGTAAGCTGATAACTCACTTCTCATACGACAAAACAAATAAAGGTAAAATGACAAAACAAAGAATACCAATTATTTTAGGGAAAAAATTCCAAATTCAACCTCAAATTCATTGGCTGCTCATGTATCATTTTAAAATAAACTTGTTTTGTTTTTTGTCAGGAAACACCAAACCAAAACTGTTTGAAGAACAATAGTCTTAAAAGAACAAAAACAACTTGTCATCTCTACTTTTAAGAAAACTACTCTAAAAGGTCCCTGATGTATTTTTATTCTGCAACTTTAAGCAGGAAAAAAAAAGAAAAGCAAACTGGTTTATTCCAGAAAAAGAAATGCCTTGGCACACATCTCCATTGGAGAACCATTTATAGTCACAGAAGGCAGAGAAAAAAATGAATACACTCTGAAAGTTATGTAATGAGTTTTATTCCAATGGGTTTTATTTTTAGCAACACGAGTAGGTCACCAATAAGATTCTAGTTCTAGTGTGATTTTGTTAACTCCAGCACTTCTTATGGTTTAGCTAATTTCAGAGATGGAATATTGGGTGCTATTGGCCGAGAGTAATATGAGTTTGTTTACTGAATGTTTGATGTATATTAAAGGGACTCTCCAGTGCCAGGAAAACAAGCTGCAGGTCCCCTCTTCCTCCAACCCCCCATTCCAAGTTGCTGAAGGGGTTAAAACCCCTTCAGTGGCTTACCTGTATCCAGCGCCGATGTCCCTCTGCGCTGGTTCACGGTCCGCCCACGCTCCTCCCCCGCCAACATCATCCGGCGGGGGAGACCTATTGCGCATGCTATGCGGCCGCCGGGGGAGACCACACGCGCATTAAACCTCCCCATAGGAACTTCAAATGGGGATTTCAGCAACGCTGGAGGTCCTCAGATAGCGTGAGGACGTCCAGCGACGCTATAGTACACGGAATGTGTGCTATAAACCTGGAAGTGCCCTCTAGTGGCTGTCTAAGAGACAGCCACTAGAGGAGGAGTTAACCCTGCAAGGTAAATATTGCAGTTTATGAAAACTGCAATAATTACACTTGCAGGGTTAAGAGTAGTTGGATTTGGCACCCAGACCACTTCAATTGGCAGAAGTGGTCTGGGTGCCTGGAGTGTCCCTTTAACTAGTGAACCAGGATGGTGTATTAAAGAATTGTAATGGCGATAGACTATTTCAGCTTTCAGACTTACAGAGATATATCTACAAATTATATTACTCTTGGTTTCATTGATGTTCCAACTACCAAGCCTAGTCCACTACTCTTGAGGAAATATTGGCCTATGGGGAGGCAGCAAAATCGTAAATAACCCTCGGAGAACCATCTTTGCCAATGCTGTCTTGTGTTATCGTCACTGGATTCAAGTCTACAGACCCTGGTATCATAAAGGCTCTCCAAAGCATCAACGGAATAACTTATGATACCCTTTTTAATATTATTACAGATACATTAATAAAATGGCAGGCGAGCTAACAATCTAATGGCCATTGGAGTGATACTAAAAACCTCAATTTATTTAAATATGCACAGGGATTTGGGATAGTAACTCTTTTCTTTTTATTGTACGTATTAGGGATGATGTGTACTATGGTCATTGCTGCCGCCCAGGAGTAGTGGGAGTCTGAGCGCAGGACTTATTTTTGTGTATTTGTATTTGCTTTTCACACAGTCATGTTACAATGTTGCTGCCCATCCCATGTGTTCCCTATTAAGGGTTAATAAGTATGTAGGGGTTTTGAAAAATATGGATTTAGGATAGTGCGCAAGTAAAGTTTTTCTTTGGGTTTTATAGTACATTAATAATGTGCTTGTATTAGGGAGCCAGAATCTGTCAGCAAACAATTACTAAAAACAAAAAATAAATCTGCCTGTACTCAATCCCAAGTCTTTATTTTATACACATTTAAATAACAGCATCTTTCATATGGCCATTAGCGTGCAAGCTCACCTACACCATCAAGGCAAGTCTCTTTTTTTGCACTAAAAATACACCTTGCTGCTTTCAGCTAAAATGCTAACTTTTCACATTATTAACCCTTGATAGGGTGTGTGGCAGAACTGTAACATAACTGTGTAATACAAAAGCAAATACAAACAAAAGATTAGGCCCAGCACTTAGACTCACTACACTACTTACTAATCCTGGACGGGAAGGCAACAATGACTACAGTATATATCAGTTAAAATACATAAAATCAAAACCAAAAATAAGGCCACCTGCACATGATCCTATGTCCCTATGCACATTAAAAATAAATGGGGGTTTTTTAGTATGACTCCAGTGACCATTAAATTCCAAGCTCATCTGTACCATCAAGACAAACCTCTAAAGTGAGTCCTACACTGAAAATTCACCTTGCTGCTTTCAACTGAAACCACTCACACATATTAACCCTTAATAGTGTATGCATATGTGATACAAAAGCAAATACAAACATACAAAAGTAAATCCTGCGCTCAAGCTCTCACGACACATGGGTGGCAGCAATGGCTCCAATATATATTGTCTATGTGACTGGAAGGTAAAGCTCAGCCAATGAGAAATCTATGTGAGCAGAGCTGCTGAATTGACTTCACCCCCATTCTATTTCAAAGCCATGCAGAGGGGAAAATGTACAATGTAAAAGCTATCTCTACAGTCACTCAGACGGCCACTAGAGGTGCTTCCTGTGTCAGTGCTGTGCAGTGTGCATCACTGGTGTTCCGTGTCTCCACATTCTGCGTAGAGGTGCTGAAAGTTCCCCAAAGAGATGTATTGATTCAACACATCTCTATGAGTGTGTTTTGTTGTGCATTGAGCAGGGCCCTCAACCCCTCTTTTCCTGTGTGTCCAACTTGTCTGGTTACAACTACATATTTGTTCGTCCACCCACTGTAAAGCGCTGCGGAATTTGTTGGATATATATATATATATATATATATATATATAATATAATATAATATACAGCCACACCAGCACTATTGTGTGAGGAAGAAATGTTTGTATTCCTGACACTATAGTGTTCCTTTAATATCATCTTTATAACTTCCTATTCGAGGCCTTAGGATTTCTACTTAAATTAAATCTGTTTTGTATGTTTATTGTATGCTGCATGGATGCATGAAGAAACACTTTTCTTATGCCTAGAAGGACGCAGACAATAGTTTTCAGCAGAAAAATGCAGCCTGTTTATTTTATAAGGAAACATTTTATTTTTATTTTTTTAAATTTGCATCAATCCTGCTAACTGAGCCTAAATGAAATCCTAAACTATACCTTTGTAAATAGCCTAAAAAAAAAACAATACATTTTTATCATAGAGTTATCATATATATTTTTTCAAATAGAATTTATCCAAAACTAGGTGCCCTGTACAGAAACAAATCCTGCCTAGGCCCTACAGTAAGGAAACAGATAGTGCAACAAATGCTAATGCCGGTCATTGATTATGGGGATGTCGTGTATGCACCTGCATCGCAAACCCACCTTAACAAACTTAATACGTTATATAACTCGTTCTGCCGCTTTGTATTAGAATGTAATTACCTTACCCACCATTGTGACATGTTAAAAGAGCTAAACTTGCTAACGCTGGAATCCAGACGCAACCTTCATTTTTCCAGCCTTGTGTATAAGAGCATTTCTGGGAAACTCCCCCCCTACCTGAGTAGAATGCTCTCACCAGCTGTTCCCACCTCCGATACAGTACTAGCACGATATTTAGCATACCACAATATGAAATTAAAGTGTCTTGATCCTCCTTTTCCTACAGAGCACCCCAATTATGGAATAACCTCAGGGACACAATCAAATCTTCATTCAATCTAAAATCTTTAAAGAGATCTATGGCAATATACCTCAGCACAGACGGCACCTGTCATGGTTGGATATATGTATTACCTGTTGTGTGTTCATTTTATATATGTGTGTATGTATTGTTTGTATATTGTATTTTTGGTAATATTGTATGCTATTGTAACAATGCAATGTTTTGTGGACCCAGGGCATACTTGCAAAGAGAGAAATCTTAATGTATCCATCCTGGTAAAATATTTTATAAATAAATAAAATTAAAGAGTTAACATATGAGCCAGGAATAATTATCTTACAGTTTGCAGATAATTGTCACTCTGAGAAAATGGGTGCTGTAATATAAAAAAATAGCTTCATTGTTGTTCCGAAGCAATTTAAAAATATATTACCATATGTACTCTTATCGTACAGGAAATCACATTTCTTTCATCCTCAATTAATTAGTGCCCAAGAGACAGCAAAATACAGGGTATTTTGCTTAGCTGAACTATGATCTTGTCTGCATAAGTAATGCCTAGGTTTCCAATGTATAATTACACACATGCCGCCATAGCTGCACAGACAATGTCAATCCAGGGTCTGTATGTCATAATTATTACATGTAAACCAATAATTAGAAAGGGCTACATCTCTAATCACTGTGGCAACGTAGATAATGTATCCATACTATTCGATCTGTCTATACTTCATTCAGAAAAGTGAGAATACTTCTCACTTGATTTAATATTTTTGGATATGTTTTTCAAATTATTTAATATTTTTTGGGATAAACTTTTAAAATATATATTATATATATTTAATATTTTATTATTTCGATTTTTTATATTGTAGGAATTGTCTTCCTGGTTTGGATAGAGATCACTGCAAAAGCAAATCATTTTTAATTAATTTGTGTGTGCATTTATAATGAATTTACTATGCAATTAGTTGAAATGTGTAAATTTCAAAACCCCTTTAAAAATGTTGGGTTTGAATTTATGTCTAATTTGCAAAATATAGTGTAATTCCTATAGCTAATCCAAAATTTACATTTAAAAATATCTTCACTAAAGGCTATTCAATGGCATTTTTGGGGAATAGCATTTAGTGTAGTTCAGAACCTTGATCAAACCTGGTTAATGTACACTGAACAAAATTATAAATGCAACACTTTTGTTTTTGCCCCCATTTTTCATGAGCTGAACTCAAAGATCTAAGACTTTTTCCATGTACACAAAAGGCCTTTTTATCTCAACATTTTTTCACAAATCTGTCTAAATCTGTGTTTGTGAGCACTTCTCCTTATTTGAGATAACCCATCCACCTGACAGGTGGGGCATTGGCATATCAAGATGCTGATTAGACAGCATGATTATTGCAATGGTGTGCCTTAGGCTGGCCACAATAAAAGGCGACTCTAAAATGTGCGGTTTTATCACACAGCACAATGCCACAGTTGTCCCAAGTTTTGAGGAAGCATGCAATTAGCATTCTGACTGCAGGAATGTCCACCAGAGCTGTTGCCCGTGAAATAAATGTTAATTTCTCTACCATAAGCCGTCTCCAAAGGTGTTTCAGGGAATTTGGCAGTACATCCAACCAGCCTCAAAACCGCATACCACTTGTAACCACACCAGCCCAGGACCTCCACATCAAGCATCTTCTCCTCCAAGATCATCTGAGACCAGCCACCCGGACAGCTGCTGCAACAATCGGTGTGCATAACCAAAGAATTTCTGCACAAACTGTCAGAAACCACCTCAGGAAAGCTCATCTGCATGAAATACCGTGATGAGATCCTGAGGCAGATGTTGCAGCACCTCATGTTGCAGCATGATAATGCTAGGCCCCATGTTGCAAAGATCTGTACACAATTCCTAAAGGTAAAAAAATCCCAGTTCTTGCAAGGCCAGCATACTCACCGGGCATGTCACCCATTGAGTATATTTGGGATGCTCTGGATCAGCGTAAACGACAGCGTGTTCCAGGTCCTGCCAATATCCAGCAACTTCACACAGCCATTGAAGAAGAGTGGACCAACATTCCACAGGCCACAATCGACAACCTGATCAACTCTATGTGAAGGAGATGTGTTGCACTGCGTGAGGCAAATGGTAGTCACACCAGATACTGACTGGATTTCGGACAACCCCCACACCCCCCCGGACCCACCATAAACAGTAAAACTAAGGCACATTGTATAAACCTCGTTGTTGGGGATCCCAATAACCACACTAGTGCTGCAGTATCTCCCCAATTGCTTCAGGATGAATAGACTATCGATAAACAACTGAACCCTGCCTGACTCCTATTAACTGGAAAGGACTCAGAAACTTCCCACATTTCCCTAAGCAATGGGCAGTAGTGTGACAAATCATTAAGTTCAGAATGAGTAGTCAGTGGGCCCATACATTCATCTGTTATTATGGGTTGTTTAAATTATTACAGGGGTCCCAGCATTGGTGTATTTTAGATTTGTGCTGCCTTAGGCATGACGAAACTCGAGCAGCCCCCCCAATGTAGCCCCACACACCTCTTCATGTTTAACACGAACATGCAGTTTGACAGACACCCACTGACAGGCACCCACTTTCATATACTCATACAATGACATACATTCACTGACAGACACATACACTCACTGACACACACACTCACAGACATACACTGACAGACACACACATTCACCAACTGGCACACACTGACAGATGCACACATTCACTCACAGACACTCACTGACAGAAGCACACAGTCACTCACTGACAGGCACACACATTCACTCACAGACAAACTGACAGGCACACTCACTCACTAACAAATACACACTCACTCACAGACATACACTGACAGACACACACACATTCATTCACAGACACCCATTCACTCACAGACACACTGACAAACACACACACATTCACTCACTCACAGACACACACACATTGACAGACACACACTGACAGACACACACACATTCACTCACTCACAGACACACACTGACAGGCACACAGACATTAACTCACTCACAGACACATACTGACTAACACACACACACACATATTCACTCACTTACAGACACACACTGACAGGCACACACATTCACTCACTCACAGGCACACACTGACAGGCACACAGACATTTACTCACTCACAGACACATACTGACTGACACACACACATTCACTCACTTACAGACACATACTGACAGACACACACACACTCACTCACTCACAGACACATACTGACAGATTCACACACACTCACTCACTCACTGACACCTTGATACTGACACTCTCACACTCTCACACATTTACAAATTAAGTGGATTTGAAAGAGTGAATTCTTCCCTGGGGTTCAGTGGGGTTGGCTGCTGCTGGGCAGGCACAGGCTGACGGTCAGTCAGCAAATGCAAGAGGCGAGGGAGCTGTGATCTATCTGCTCAGCTCCCTCGCACCACTTAGTGATTAGTCATATTAGGCCGGTGTGCGGTGTGCGCGAGGGTGCTTAGCAGTAGGAGCTCAGACGACAGTGCTCCCTCGCCACCCGCCCATAATATATGCAGTTGAACACCTCAAGGGGGTCCTGAGCTGGCCAGTTGGCTAGCTCTTGGGTCCCCCATGAATGAGGCTAAGAAGGCATTTTCCAGGGGACTTGGGGGGGGGGGCAAGGGGGGGGTTTGCTGCCAGCTCCTGGACCCCCAATGAATCGAGGGTAACAAGCATTCGAGGCTAACAAGGCATCTGGTAGGGTGTTTGGGACGTCATTTTTTGCTACCCCATTGAAAGTTCTGCCCAAGGCAAATGCCTTGTTTGCCTCACTGTAAATATAGCACTGAGTACACCTCAACGTTTCAGTCCATTACCAGACTTTTTATCTATGCAATAAACTAGAAAAATTCATCCACGTGTGCTCTAAGATATTTATATTTTTGGCTGGAGTGTTTATAGTACTTAGGTAAGGAAGATTAAATATAATTATACACTTCCTTGATAATTAAAAGAGGCAGAAAAAATACCAACAGTTTATGTCAAATAATATAACCTGTGTCCTCACTCACAGTCCGATAGGATTGGGTTAGAACACCTGCTGCATTTAAGATCTTGTTTACAATTAGTATTTCATAAAAAGTGTTTTTGTAGTTTGCTTGTTTTAGATTTTGATCTCTTGCCCCTTTTATAAATGTACTATTAATATGAAAAAAAAACAACATTATTTCATATTGCGTTTCATTACAGCAATGTAAGGTTGAAACTGAAGGTAGAGTTAGATTAGTGATATATACATTATATCCATAACCCCACTCCTAAAATCTTACATTTAGTATTAATGTTCCACTAGCCCTAATCCTGTAATGTGGGATGGAATCCAACCAATAATGATGCCAAATTCGAACGTTGTATTATGTATGTACAGATACACATATATGTGTCATTGTTAAAGCAGTATTACAAGATCCTACTAGATCGTAAAATGGATATCTCATAGCCAGTGGTACCTTACACGTGATTATATATGAGCTTTTAAATCATTTTCAATAGGTCACCTAACTCTGACTCGTTTTGGTGTGATGACTCTTGTTTATTTAATGGAGAATAGATTATAGATTGTGCTTATTCACTGGAAAAAGAATAACAGTGTGAACTTTGAGGAGCTGTTGAATCACATGCTTTCTTGCATTTAGCATGAAGTATGGATATTCTCTATTATCCATAACAATTGCTTTAAGAATTTATAGCATGGATTACCATAACTGACACCTTGATTTGGATGTTTGTGTGTAGGTGTACATAGGACTTCTGCATGATGAACAGAAAATTGCATGACTGCTGAGTCACAGTTAACTAACCACCATACAAGAAAATCTGCAGTGTTCCCAGCTTCATCCTTTTTCCCCAATGGTAAGTTAGTTTCCCCAGGCTCTAAATAACAAGACATAAACAACTATTTAAGTAGGGTAGGGCATCGGCTACAGCTTTTAGTAGTCTCAATAACTTGCCAGCAAACACAAGTACAACCTGCCAGCTGCCTGGTAAAAACCGACAGTCAGATAACAATTATCATTTGACCAACAGTCCAATGCAGTTTG